CGAAGCGTAGGTGACTCGTTAGGAGGAACGAACATGTCGTCTCTTTTCTTTGTTCCACTTGAACTAGGAACTAAATCCTTTGGTCTAGGTATCGATGAAAAACGATTCTCATCAAATATTGCATCTCTTGACTCAATTACGGTGTGAACCGCTATAGAATCATTAGGTTCTATGACATAAAACCTATATGCCTTGGAATGCAAGGCATAACCAATGAAGATGCAATCAATACCTCTTTCTCCCAAAGTCTTAATCTTTGGTTGGGGTAATCTAACGATCGCCCTACAGCCCCAAACTCGAAGATAGTTCAAGTTTGGTTTCTTTTTATACCAAAGTTCATATGGAGTAACTTTGTTCCTTTTGTTGGGAACTCTATTTAATAAATAACAAGCCGTTAACATGGCTTCACCCCAAAATCCGTCACTTAATCCCGAGTAAGATAACATGGAATTAACCATTTCTTTTAGAACTCTATTTTTCCTCTCGGATATACCATTTTGTTGTGGCGTATACGGAGCCGTAATCTCATGTATTATGCCCACAGACTGAAAATACGTAGGATCATAATACTCCCCACCTTTATCCGTGCGTAACTTCTTAACCAAGTCACTATGTTGTAATTCAACCTCGGTTTTATAAACCTTGAATTTATCTAAGGCCTCATCTTTAGCATGTAATAAATATACATAACAAAAACGAGAATAATCATCTATGAACGTGATGAAATATTTCTTGTTTCCTAAAGATGGTGTAGCATGTAAGTCACATAAGTCACTATGAATAAGTTCAAGCACCTTTGAATTTCTTTCAATGCTTTTAAAAGGTTGTCTAATTATCTTAGTCAACATGCATGTTCTACACTTCTCTATATTCACGTCAAAAGTAGGAATTAATCCTTCTTTAGACATATCAATCATTCTTTTATAATGCACGTGGCCTAATCTTGCATGCCATAAAGAAGTATCATTTTTGCTAGAACATGCCATGTAAATAGAATTGACAACTTTATTAATATTAAGCATAAACATGCCATTACAAAAGTATCCAAATCCAACAAAGATACCACACTTAGATAAGACATACTTGTCTGACTCATACACTTGTTTAAATCCACACTTATTTAAAACACTACCGGAGACTAAGTTTTTCCTAATTCCGGGTACATGAATTACATCATTAAGATCAAGAGTTTTCCCGGAACTAAACTTTAACACCACTTTTCCACGACCTAGGATAGGAGCGGTTGACTCGTTGCCCATATAAAGTACGGATCCATCTTGAACCGGCTCGTACGTCTTGAACCAGCCACGATCCTTGCAAACATGTATTGTTGCACCCGAGTCAATCCACCATGCCTCCTCATCATCCTGCACATAGAATGCCTCAGCTATTTTTGATACATAATACACTTTTGAGTATGAATCAAAAACAAAATTCTGACCTTGATGAGAGGATGGGCCTTGATCCTTAGACCCTTGCCCAAAACGGTTTTGTTGCGTTTTATTCTTATCCTTTGCTGCCCGACAATCACGTTTGAAGTGACCAGGCTTGTTACAAATCCAACAAACGCTCTTGAATCGTTTGTTAGATCCATCATTGGTGTTGTTAGTAAAGGGGCGCTTCTTCCCCTTGTTCTTTATTTTAGAACTCCCACTCTCCTCCATCATATTGATTGAAGAAGTTTCAGCCTCCTTATCTTTGGGTTTTCCACCCTCTTGCACCCTTAGAGATTCCTCTATGCGCAAATGGCTACCAAGTTGTACAAGAGACAACTCTTCCTTTTTGTGTTTTAACATGCGCCTAAAATCTTTCCACGAAGGCGGCAACTTGTCGATGATACACGACACCGAGATGGATTCATCCATCTTCATGTTGTGTTGAGCGAATTGGCCTAGGATGCGAAGTAATTCATTGTATTGCTCCATTACCGGCCTTGAATCGGACATCTTGTAATTATTAAAATCACTCACAAGGAACTTCTTACTAGAAGCATCCTCGGCCATGTACTTCGATTCCAACGCATCCCATAGTTCCTTTGCGGATTCGACATTTTGATAGACATCAAAGAGAGAATCAGACATACCGTTGAGAATGTGGCCACGACATATGTAGTCATCGTTTTCCCACTTAAGTTGCTTCCTTGTCTCCTCCACGGACTCGTTCTCACCATTCTCCGACACGGTGGGCATTGGCACACTTAGAACGTGAACCACATTGAGCGTTGTGAGGAGAAAGTGCATCTTCTTTTGCCATCTTCTAAAATCAACTCCTTCAAACTTATCCAATTTGCCAAACTTTGACGTCATCTCACGCACAGAAACATTAGCCATTGTTCACCGTAAATACTCTTTAAGATTGTTGTGTATAGACGTTGTATCTCCGGGACGTAACGAACGTGAACTTGGATAGAGATTGAATCGCGCACGAGAGCACTTTCCTTAAAGAGTATTTCGACCCTTCTCAAGCCTTGGGTTACACGAAATCCCTTCTAGGATAAGACAATCAAAGTTCTCTCTTGTTCTAGGCTAAGACACAAGAGAAACAAATAGAGCTTTTTGTGTTTTGTTTTTGTGTTTTTCACTAAAGATTAAGACAATCTTTAGTCTCGTGAATCTCTCTTTTCTCCTCTTCTTCTCTTTCTTTGACACAAGAGAAACAAAGTTTATATATGGTTCAAAAGTTGTGACGTACGTTTGCAACCGTACGTTTAAATAATAACCATAAATTGAATAGTTGCAATGGTTAATTTAATAACCGTCGGTTTACACTTAAATTTATAACATACTTTAAGGGTAAGTTCTCGTTAATGATTGTGTGCTGAAAAATTAATATTAATGATTGCATAAATGATTTGACAATTGATGTTGAAGACAGTCCTCGTGCCTTCGTACAAAGAAAAACGCGTGAAAAAATAACAGGAAGCACTTAAAAAAAGAAGGATAATAACAATACGTGATTTTTACGTAATTACCAGAGAAAATGGCCGACAATCCGTCTTATCCATATATAATATTCCTTTTTTTTTTTTTTTTAAACACCATATAGTACTGTATTCCTTTTTCCAGTCGTTTTTGTGAGGAATTATATCATAGAGTTAAAGTTAATTTGATTAGTTTTTTTTTTTATAATTCAGGGTAGATCCTAGATTTATGGAGGAGCCAGACTAATCTTTGGGGGAAGTGCAGCCCATAGATAGATCATCTCTCCGGATATTCAAATGGGCTAAAAGTAAGGACACATATCCATGTGGGTGTCTAGAAACAATGTGTTGAAGTTTCACGCAGCAGGTGGATCGAACTTGAGACGTGTTGGCGCTTCAAACCCGTCTCTTTACCACTTGACCACAAAGTCCTGGACAAGTTAATTTGATTAGTTACAAAATTTTAAAGATATATAAGAAATACAAAAATTAGGAAATGCGTAAATAGGTGTCAAATTTTGATGCTAAATAATTTAGTTATGGACGGACAGTATATATGTAAAGTGTAAATGTTAGTTTTTAATTTTTCAAACTTTCTAGTCCCGTGACATCAATTTTTTTGCCTACTCCTACTTGATCGACTAGTTGCAGTATATATAAATAGTTAAATACATCCAACTTCTTTTTTTTAATATTCTTTGTCAACACATTAATGGTACTATATGATAGTATATCCCACTTTCTTCTTCTTCTTCTCTTTTTTTTTTGTTTCCGTCAAACCCAAATCCATATCTATAGGATTCGCATATAATCAGTTTTCGTGATGTTGACAAACATTCGCAAACAAACACAAATTGAAAAAAATCAATATTTAATATGGCTGTCCGACTCGTCAAAATATTATTATTCCTATACGTTGCATATATGATACTTAACGCATGTTGACTATTAACTAAGCAAT